TCAATGTTTTGTATAATACCATAGATATGTATATAATATGCCTTATACATAGACTGACATACCATCACCGCTCAGAATCGTTTTTCTTATACAATGATATTATATCATTGAATTCAAATTTAATACCATCCATTATACAATGACCCACTTGTAACCTACTGTACAGCAGAGCGACACCCACTTGCCCACCTTTTTATTTATATTTTTGTGTCTGTCATCACGTTTTGGGACAGTAAAAGTGCTTCGATTTTCTTCAATAGTACCTTTTCTGATAGGAAAGTGAATCTAGTTGGTACTTTGGGGGGTCAAAAGTAAACATTATCCATTAGTTTTCACAAGCGCCGGGAAAAACAACATAAAAATTAAGGAAAAACGGGAATTTTTACGCAAAATCGATTTTCCAAAAAATCAAATTTGGATTTTGGTGTAACTACAAATGACCGTAAATACATGAAATTTTCACTGGTTGTTTATATTTGCATTTTCTAAACACGATAACATTTTCAAAATATTTTGATTTATTTTGAACTGTTTAGGGACATTTTCATTTTTCATTTTTTTTTAGTTTTTTTTCTAGAAATATCAATAAAATTTTATTTGTTGGTTGCGAAAGCTTGAAAATTTAATAGAAGGCTCCTAATATGTTGTTTCAAAGGCAGATGAAAAATATTAAAAATCCTTAGTCACAATTTTTTTTTATAAGCATTTAAAGTTCAAAAATTTACAAAATATGGAAAAATCACGAAAATTAGCAAATTATTTTGAGTTAAGAATTCGTAAAAATTTTTCTTTTTAAATCTAAGATTTGAAAATGAAACACAAGATTCCTTATAAGATTATCTACCTTTATCAATAAAAAAATCTCTACCGGACAGTCAAGTTAAATTTTTATGAGCGTTTGAAATTAAAATTTTTACAACATTGGATATTCACTCGATTTCTCATGTAGCGATTTCTTTATTTTGTTGCAATTCAAAAACGAACAACTGAAGATACATGAAAATTTCACTGAATGTTTAAATTAGCATTTTCTATACACCATACAATTTTGAAAATATTTTGACTCTTTTTGAGCTGTTTAGGGACATTTTCAGTTTTCAATTTTTTTAGTTTTTTTTTTTATAATTGTCAATAAAATTTTATTTGGTGGGCCAAAAAGTCTGAAAATTGAATACAAGCTTTCTTATATATTGTTACAATATCAGTTGAAAAATTTTAAAAATACATAAGCACGATTTTTTTTTATAAGCATTTAAAGTTGGAATTTTGACAAAATTTATCAAAATCTCGAAAATAATCAATCGTTGGAATTAAAAAATTATAAAATGTTCAGTTTTTATAACTAAGAGTTGAAAATTTAAAACAAAGATTCTCTTAAATAATTCATACTGTAACCAAAAAATCTAAAAAATATATAAACACACTTATTTTTTACAGACATTTTAATTTCAAATTTGGACGAAATTACATATTAAAAAACCTAGAATAACTATTTTAGTTATTTTGTTGTGATTGAATAATATTGTTCGTGGGTACTTGAAACTTCTAAAGTGTACTATTATATATCTATGATAGTATCACGGTTTTTGTTGATGTATAACGCGTTATGAGTATCTAATGGATATTGTGATATGATTAATTTGGAATTTATTATAGGTACCTATTTATAGGTCAATTATTTGTTTAATACCATAGATATGTATATAATATGTCTTATACTAGACTGACATACCGTCACCGCTCAGAATCGTTTTTCTTATACAATGATATTAGATCATTGAATTCAAATTTAATACCATCCATTATACAGTGACCCACTTGTAACCTACTGTACAGCAGAGCGACACCCACTTGCCCACCTTTTTTTATTCGTTGCTACGGTGATAAACAAATTGTTAGAAATTAAAATCCCATTTTAAGCGGTTTTTCGTAATTTTTCAGTACTTTTTCCCGTGGCATTAAATAACTATTGAGAAAATCGAAAAGTGACCTCTCTAAAGTACCATCTTGGTCCAATTTGCTAAAAGATAAGGTACTATATGTTGAAATCAAAGCACTCCTTCTGGTAGAAATTTTGTATACAGGATATAAAAAAAATAAAAAAATAAAAAAATAAACACCATTGTATTTTTATCCTCTCAGAATCTAAAAATGATTACTTTAAGAGATATTAAGAAATGTAGAATAGCTGCTTGACGTCATTGTGCCCGGATAATCGTAATTGTCTATCTTATGCGTGTAAAAGTTCCTCGTTTCGCACAACGATGATTTAGGTAGGTACCAATCTAGAAATTTTATTTTTGAAATTTAGTTTACGTATAAATGTGAGAGTTTAAGACTATAAAAGTATCAGAAATTCAATATAACGTATAGTTTTTTAAATATTAAAATTCACTCCAATGGCGTATATATAGAAATAATTTTTGGGGTGGGCTATAAATTATAATGCTAAATAATATGATTGACTATTAAATGATACTTTAATTTTACTGTAAAACCTAATCAAATTTAATACTCATATTATATCGTAGTTATATAGTCATTGAAATTACCTCCTACTAAATATACCTAAATAATTACGGTGTTATTACTTTTTTTGATCTAGATAATGTTATTAGTATGAATTTTATTATAAAATTGATAATTGCAGTATTTTACATATTATTGACTTTAGTTAAAAAATCATTTAATATGCTGGGATTCATAAACAGGAATATTTTAAGAAAATTTTAAAAATATTAACTATTATATATTATAATATGATATATAATTTAATTTCAGTATATTATTTGTGAAATTGAGATTCAACTTACTGTACTTTTAATTTTTATTACCAAAGGGTATACCTATCCGTTTATAAATAAATATTTATACAGCAATATTAATATATCACATAGGTAATATAATATGTACCTAATAATATAATAATTATAATTAAAATTTTATATATTTTTATTATTATATTAATTATTATTTTTGACAGCTGTACCCAAAAATCAGTGGCAGATCTAGAGGGGAGGGGGGTCAGGAGGTCAGCTGACCCAAAATTAATATTTGCTGATGAAATTGGCCTCTTTTCAGATCTTGGGTAGTTGGGCAATTGGACCCTCGAATAAACACACATAGGTACAGTATAAATGAATATTTTTGTCTTTTATAGGTACCTTGTACACAGTATAGATTTCTAATCTGGTCTTAATAAGTGGCCCCTTGAAATATCCTGACTCACAGTTTTCTAACTCTGTATCCGCCCCTGCCAACAGTACTATTAGGTATAGCTTTAGGGATTTTTTTCTTGTGGATTTTTTTCCATAGTTTCTACTGCAACGAGTTACACCCGAAATGATGAACAATCACAATTTTTTTAAGAGTTGTAATTTTTTAGGGGCAACAAAGTGCGTGGGATCAGCTAGTATAAAATAACAATTCAAATATATCTCTTTTAAGATTTTTAATATTTTTTACTAAACTAAACGTTATATTGAAATTCTGATATTTGCATCGTTTTTAACACATAAAATCACACATTTAAATTTAAATTAAATTTCAAAAATAAAATTTTTAGGTTGGTAAATTGTTGTGTGAAGTGAGCCGTATAATAGAAATATAGAAATCCATTATATGTCTATGGAAGCGACGAACTTTTATAGTATTAGTATAAGATAATAAGATATAAGGCCTAGCCCAATGACGACACACGTCTTTTTTAGTTTTTTCAATTGCTCAAAAGTCATAACTTATTGAATAATGCAAATAGAAACGTAAAACCTATACCATTATTCTTAGAATTGAACATTCTTTCATAATAAAAAAAATTACTTTGTGTTTTGTGTTCCTGTAAGAGGACGACGCACCCGCTGTGTTGTTTCCGTCTTACACAATAGTACAACATAGCAAATTTTCGTTCTCTAGTTTCAATAGGGACAAGGGTGCTGTCAGTTTTGATATTAGAGTGATTTGACATATTCTCAAACTTTTAAGTAATAACATTATCTGTGTTTTTTTTTTTTTGGTTTTTTACGATATTTTAATTTTTAAACGAGTTATGAGTATGTAAAACATTAATATTTGAAAATGTTCATAATTCACTTAAAAATTTAAATATCGTAAAAAAACTAACGAGAAAACATAGATAATGTTCTTACTTAAAAGTTTTATAATATTTAAAGTAATAGTTCACTCTAATATGCTGTCGAAACTGACAGCATGCTATTGAAACTACTAAACGATCATTTGCGATATGCCTATATCGTACGTGTGTAAGACAGTGACATGTGGGTGCGACGTCCTCTTAATGATTCGAATAATAAATTAATATATTCATTTGAAATGAAAAATCAAATTACAGTGGGAATAACCTTTTGCTCCATGATGTAAGTTATTCCTCCAAGTCTTCTATCAGCTATATTAGATCACTATATTTTTTGTTCCACGCACAAACGCGCCGACCTCGGCTAAATATATTAGCATGAACGCTATTATAATTCTATAGTCTTCATGAATATTAGAACTTAGAAGTTAGAACTATATTATCTATAGCCGTGGAACCGACTGTAGTGGTCCCGCTATATTTTAGCTTAATGCTTGTTTATTTATTTGTTGTAGACCACTAACCACTAACCACAGAATAGGTGATTCAACCATATTGGTGAATCATGATTACGACCAATCAGAGGGCAGGAAACATTGAAAAGATAATGATAACTGCCGGCAAGACGTGAAAAATGAAAATATATTGTTTATCAATCTAATATTTACTAGTTTGGTTTGGTTTTGATTGTTTCAACTTTTGAAGTCGATCGCGTGAGTCCGTGAATTCTTCACTATTATTTTAATTTGTAAAAGGTAATAATATTTTTATTAAACAGTCATTTCTTTAGGTCCTTGAAAAACACATATATTTTTATAATATTGTATAGACATTTTATTGTATTTGAATTTGAATTATTTTATCTTAATCACATACATTTTCACAGAACTATCAAATAACATACATAATCATGGCTACTATGCCAGTAAATCCAAAACCGTACCTTAATGGTCTTATGGGTAAAACCATAATCGTTAAGCTTAAATGGGGTCATGAATATAAAGGATTTTTGGTGTCCACTGACAATTATATGAACATTCAACTAGCTAGTGCTACAGAATTTGTGGAAGGTAGTGAACCAGCTCTATTGGGTGAAATTATGATTAGGTAAGTCATTCTCAAGATATTATTATGCTTTTCAAACTAATTAAAATATTGATTGTTCTACCTTACACTTACAATATAACAATTCTAAAAGAGCTATTCATAATGTACCTACCTGCCCAAGTATATTTTACCAACTACAAATAAACAAATGTTTTTAATTCCAGGTGTAATAACGTTCTTTATATCAGGTCAGTTGATGATGAAAATGAAGAGGCTGATGCAGAGATGAAAGAATGAATTAGGTAATAAAAACTCAACCAAATTTTCAAAATAAATTTAATTTTACTTTAAAATACATATATTTAAAAATAAAAATAATTTTTTTGTATAAACTATAACATTAGTATTAGATTATGAATACAATTAAATACTTTTGTTTAAAATAAGAATCTTTTTCTATTTATACTTGTGTTAAAAAAAAAAGTATATAGGTAACCTACCTTCTCAGTAACAGAGCCTTACTTAGTAGCGGGCTAGGGGGGCTGCAACCCCAGACAACGGTATAACTAGAGCTCCTATATTTTAGTCTAATATAGTCATACACAATATATTTAATAAAGAAATACTTATAGACTTATAGTAAATTTAATTTATCTTAAAAAATAAGTTGAAAATAAAATAAAATATAAAATATAAAAAAAAAACTAAATTTATGATTTAAATTAAGGGGTCCCACCAACAATAAGCATCACATTCCAAAATTCCTAAGTAGTGTTTTGCTTGGTGGCCTTTTTGGAGTATTTGGACTGCCTCTAAACTTGATATGTTCGCCTATTTAAAAAACAATATTATTGTGATTTGGCCCATAAAATAAATTTGTTGGTCTGAGAGATGGATTTATTCCAGACAGTGTTTGTGGGCTGTAAAAAAATAAGGGGGCGTGGCTACTATTTTGTTTGACCACCCACCTCTTCACACTTATAGAAAATAATATATATATATTAGTATAATATATTTTATATTATATATGTTTAAACAATCTATGTAGGTATGACTGTAAATAGATAATATTATAGATATGTAATAATTTAATTTAATGTTTTAAAAATTATCTCACAAGTTATAACATTGTATGGTAAATATCTTCATTATTGTTCATTTCAGCTCAATTGCGCCTGAACAATTTTTTGTAAAAGTACAATCCACAACGAAATTATTTACAAAAAAAATTACCACAATCGTTACATTTATTTGAGTTTTGAGTGCCCTGCAAATCAAAATCAATTTTCTTGGTACTATTATTCAATACAAATGTTTATAATAATAGTGTCTTGTATCTTTTGGTAAAAAAAGATACATGTTACTAGTATAAAATGTACATGATACTACAAAATGATGTATCACGATACAAAATACAAGATACCATTGTACCTTTGATACTGCCCAACCCTGCCTGTATGTAACTTTTTTGGCTATCCTAAAAGTGTACTTAAAATATCAATTCAGAATGAATTACATGAATTAAAATTGAAAAAATTAAAAATGTTGTGAATTCACTTAATGAAATATCTACTTGGAAAGATATTAAAAATTCTGCTTTAGCTAACCAACTTAGTTCCTCTATCCATCAGTTAAGGTTTCAAGTAGCCTTATTGATATTAGTAAAAGTATTTGCAAAAGGTGCTCCTTGAGCACACTTCTTCAAACTGAAAACTTAGATTTAGAATCTGCTCTAGAATTTGCTGATTTGACTCAATCAACTGTAAAACAAATTTGCAATAACACTGATGCAGAGTTTGATAATATATTTTAAAAAGTTTAGGATGCCTTTTCTAGTTTTGGTATAACTGTTCCAAGAACAACAAGTCAACCAAAAAAATAGGAGTAATGTTATACTTATGAATAATTATCCAACAGAATATTATAGAATCTCAACATTCATTCTATTTCTTGATAATTTTATTGAACAACTACATGGACGATTATAATAAAATTATTAAATTTAAGTAATTGGACCATAATTGGAAGCCACCAGGAACCTGTCAGGAATATCATAACAGGAATCAGTTTGACTGTTATGGGAGGTACCCGGGAAGGTAAGTAAACTTTCCATTGGACAGTTCCTATTAAAAACCGAATAAACTTTCATGGGAGCTACCCGGGAAGGAATATAAACTTCTTGTTGGGTAGTTCCTGACGGTAACCAAACAGATTTATATGAGGTACCTGCAGGGGTTAAAGTGGGGGGGGACGCAGGAGGACTTGGTCCCCCTACCTCTGACAGCCGTTAAAAAGCGTCCCCTTTAACAAATTAGGATTTTATACATTAGACATACCTAATACATAAAATTATATATGGAATGCTTAAAACTGTATGGAGACATTAGACCCCTCATGATTTTTTTCCCACTTTCATCCCTAGGTATCTGGGAAGGTTTTTGTTGTTAGGGTGGTAGTATATTATGTTTGTGCACAAAATAATTATGAATTCTGTGAGGTTCCTTTTGTAAACATATTTGTGCCGTACATTTACTTAAATTCCGATATAGTAAATTTTATGTACCATTTACTTTTGGTACGAATTCGGAATTATTACAAAGCGTACAGCCTCATTTGGAGCATTAGTTTTTTTTTCAAAATACTCCCATACTGTGGAGCTGTTTTTTTTTGACATGACAGTGACATAATAAACAATGTAGTCTACAAAAGTATTTCACAAATAAAAATATTAACTGCAGCACAATCACACAGAACCGCTCAATCACGAAGTCAAAATGTTGAATCATGACAAATTAAAATTTAATTTGCCATGTTCACGTGTAAGTTGAATTATGATTTACGAGCAACTGCAACACGTCTTGAATGCTGCAATAACTATTGTCGAAACTCGAAGACAATGTTATTACTTATTAATTGAGTTATTATCATTATGGTAGCGGTCAATATTTGAAAATTAAAATTATCAATTCAGAGCTGCAACTAGTTTTATTACTCTATGGCTGCAACTGTTTCAAGTTGTTTCTGGCATACCGCAGAACCACCTAAATGAATTAGTAATAACTAATAATTATATATATATTTTAATACTTCTTATTAAACTCTTAACTGACAATAATGAAAATAGCACCCATGGTGAGTTATTTCTCTAAATACAGTATGTATTGCATTGATTTGCCAAATTTTATAATCTGTAATAACCATAAGATTTTGGTATTGAAGGGATTCATATCTTTGATACGTGCAAATAATACTGTATTTTATCATAATTGAGAATTTACAGCCATCTGTATAAAACGGTAATCGGAAAATAAATCCCCCGGCGAACAACCCCGGAAAAAAAATCCCCAGCTACAATATTACTCACAATCACATGCAAATGGTTGAACAAATATACCTATTTTGAACGTTAATTAGTATCCATAATTACTATTTAATGACAAATACATATAGCCGTATAGGTATTATATTCTATTATAATATAATATATTATATTATATTGTTTAAAAAATTATAAAAATATTTAGAATGATTGATACGTCAATTAATAATACAGTTAAAAACATAGTATACAAAAATATTATACAAAATATAGGTAGGTACCTATATATTTTATGTTGGTATAATTCTGTAAAAATTGAATCCCCGAAATAAAATATAGCGTAAATTGTTTATAATATTTTTATATACCTACTATGTTTTGAACTGTATTCTTTGACGTATCGATCACTCGAAATATTTTTATACTTTATATATTGGTGTACACTACACCTCACACAACAATCATAAGTAATATTTGAAGTTTTGAAAACGTAATATTTTATTTCAGGGATTTAATTTTTACAGAATTATACCAACATAAAATGTGTATTAATATAGTAATATAAAATGTTGTTGTTAATTTTTCAAAAATTATTTATAGTTATTTATTTATATTATTTTTATCACCTATATTTTGTATACCTAATATTTTTGTATACTATGTGTTTAACTCACGGACTAAGATATAATGGACTGGAAACGAGCAGCTTATCAGTGGCCTCGAAAGTATGTACAAGAAGCAAATGCGGGGGGTCGCAACCATGAACTACTACACAGGACTGGACACTATTGGCAGGAGGAGAGTAGGGGGTCGTCCACAAAGTTGTACATATTCGGTACACATGCGACACAGCGCCATCTGTGAGATAAGAAATATTTTGTTATATAAAATACCGCCTTAGTAGTTCATGCTTTAACTGTTCACTCTTTAAGCAGTAATTATTTTCTGATAATATTCTATAAATAGTATCATTATTATCTTGAACTGTGTTATTAATAATTGTTTTTCAAAAATTAAAAAGTAAATTTATTATCAGTTATTATCACTAATATCACTATTCTTTAGTGTTATCCATGGCTTAAGATAAATTTATCTTAAGCCATGGTGTTATCATGAGTTTTATTACTCTATGGTGTTATCCTATAAAAAACGTAGTTCGTACTACTAACAGGCAGAGTGCAGTTACATCGCATGTGTACGAACCCTGTACAACTTTGTGTCCGTGATTTTCTCTGTAGTGTCCAGTCCTGTGTAGTAGTTCATGGTCGCAACCATAATCGAGAGTTTACAGCGCCCTCTGTATAAAACATGGACTGAGATACAAAATGTGACGCAAAATAAAACCACTGGTAGCGCTGAAAACATTCGATTATGAGTGTTGATGATAACAGAGACACCTTTTGCGGGCCGTCCCCCGTCACCCGCCCACCTTGTCGTTTCCAGTCCATTATATATTCTTAGTCCGTGGTTTAACTGTATTATTTGGATCTAGGACAATCGGTCCCCGGACAATTGGTCCCCGCGAAAAAATGCGGCATGCGGACAAATTGGTCCCCGTCATAATTTCATACACGGACAATTGGTCCCCGGCTTAAAAGTTAAACACAAAATAATTTTTAACATAAAACATTCTCATATAATATAATTCAAATTCTCGTGACACTGAACAAAGTAAAAATAATTAAAAAGTTAAATAAAATTAATAATAAAATGTATTTTATAATTAAATATAATATTTATTTTAATAACATTTTTTAAAACTGATTTTCAATAATATAATAGGTACGCTTAGTGAATAAAATATAATATAATATGGTCAAATAAAAAAATAAAAATGTATATAATACCTTGTGAGTACTGGAATAGTTAGTACTAGTAAGTACAACCTAAGAAAGCCATTTTGCCTGTAAATTCTTATATATTATATAATATATACATAAGTACATAACAGGAATTTTTCGGGGAGGGGGGGGGGGGTCAAAAATATGTTTATTGTAATCTTATTGAATTTTTGTTAATAAAAATAAAATATTAAATAACATAAAATATTACCGGGGACCATTTGTCCGCGTATAAAATAATGACGGGGACAAATTTGACGTATCGATCATTCAAAATATTTTTATATTCTACACCTATTTGTAACGTTGTTAAGTTAGTTATTTAATTTGAATTACACATAATATATTATCGTAATTTAAAACAAAATATTATTTATAATATATAATATTTTTAACAATATAATATAATATAATATATTATATTATAATAGAATATAATATACGTATTTGTAATTAAATATTAATTATAGATACTAATTAACGTTTAAAAAATATTTGTTCAACCATTCGCATGAGGTTGTGAGTAATATTGTTGTCTGGGGATTTTTTTTCCTAGGGTCGGGGATTTTTTTTCCGGGGGATTTATTTTCCGGGATTCGTATAAAACACTGACTGAGATACAAAATGTGACGCTAAATAAAACCACTGGTAAGTGGTAGAGCTGAAGACATTCAATCATAGATAATAAAAGATTCTATTATCTATGCATTCAATAATTCAATTATTGAGGGGTGACATTCCATAACGTACTATTGCCAAAATATACAAAATTATGAGTGTGGATGATAACAGATGAACTTTTGAGGGCCGTCACCCGCCCACCATGTCGTTTCTAGTCTAATGTTTCTAGTCCAGTTTATTATACATATCCGTGGTCCGTGGTTTTATGTTATCAGCACGGCTTTAGATCATAGATAATAAAGATATGGATAGGCCATGGCTATATTAACACCACGGACTAAGATATACAGGACTGGACACGACAAGGTTGGAGGGTGTGGGGGGGTTGACTACGAAATGTTTTACAACAGGTAGTGTTCGGGGGGATATTTTCCTTTTAGCATTACTAGCGCCGTCTTAGTGGATACTTTTGGAACTAGATGACAATAATGTGATCTAGTTCCATAAGTATCCACTAAGACGGCGCTAGTAATGCTAAAAGGAAAATATCCCCCCGAACTCCGCCTGTTGTAAAACATTTCGTAACCACAATATTCATCTCGTGTCCAGTCCTGTATATCTTAGTCCGTGATTAACACTGTATGAGGTCGCGTTCTTTTTTGTGGGAGAGAGAAAATATCTTTAAGAATGTTCTCTCTCTTGCATGGGGTACTATTTATGGTTATGTTCAAACTTCAAATAATAATTGCCATTATAATATTTACCATTTTACCCCATATGACCTCAAAATTGATTGTAATACATGAACGCATGATAAGCTTCAATGGCCTATCCATATCTTTATTATCTATGCTTTAGATAGAGCCGTGGTTATCAATTCAGTCACCCCGGTCAGCGATGTCATACGTTTAGTCACCGATGGCTAACATTTATCGTACCGGTTTTTATACTTTGAGGTTATGTTGTGGTTTAGTCTAGACAGTATTGTAGACTGAAGTTAATACTAAATACTAAATAGTTATATTGTTATATTATAAATTAAATACGTATTTTGTATTTTATACATTTCAGATTTTGGGAGTCTGGACTCGGGACTTTGGTCTTTGGGTCGACGAAACTCGACTGAGGATTGTGATTGAATGAGTTTTTAAATATTTAAATGTGTTTTGTGTAGAGTTTGGAAAACGTTCAGCCGATTGTTTGTATATTAAAGTTGTTCTCAAGTCCTACGCGCTAACAAACTCAACATGTCGTTAGTGTGTGCTAGTAAGGATTTACCATTATACTTTTTATCCTCAACTATTATTATAGATTAATATTTAATTCGATAAGAAATTTACCGAAATAACTAAAATATAGATAGGTATAATTTTATTCCTCGATATTAGATTGTGGAATACTCAGTTTTTCTGTTGAAATTTCAAAAACTCGACATATTTGGTACCTCGAAAAACAGTTTATTGAAAATATTTTATTTTATCACAAATTTACATTTAATGCTTAATTAAAATATGTTTTGTAATAAATAAGGATATACCTAACCATCTTCTATTAAAGACAATGCCTTGTCGATGCAAATCTGCTTCTTCATTCTTACATATCTAATACTATGTAAACAAAAGTAAAATGTTAGCAGGTACCAAATTTTCAAAATTATGAGTGTTTATTGTTAAAATAATTACCCTGATTATAGATTAAAATGAACTATATATAGATAAATTAAAAAGTACAACTTATTTATACCTATTGTTGATTTTCAGTTTCTAATGAAGTGCCAGAGCATCCTGTGGTTTCACCAGTATCCGGATCAATTTTTGAAAGACGTCTAATAGAGAAATATATCAAAGAAAACAATACTGATCCTATAAATGGTGAAGAATTAACTGTTGAACAGTTAGTGGACATAAAAAGTAAACAAATGTAACATTATTTACATTTTAAAATTGTTTTATAATTTGTCGAGATTATGTATATACTCCGGCCACCGAGAGAGCTCTACCCAGCGGCAACCAAAACTTGTCAGATCTCATGCATTCCCACCACTTAGTCTACCCATACTCTGGTCGCCGTCACCGTTTTTACTACAACTATGCGGAGCTCGATCATTTGGATGCGCCAATGGGTAGCACTCTCTCAGTGGCCGGAGTATAGCTATTATTAAAATTATTGTTATTTAATGCTCTATAGTCTATAGCATATACTTATCAGTTATCAGAAGTCTCCAAACTACAAACTATCAGCCTGTGGACAAGTTTTTACTGGCCCGATAGCTGCAGCTAATAATCCAAAAATAAGCTATTCATATTCTATGAAGTATAATACTAGGTCTGGGTGATTCTTTTATCATTAAACACTCTTTATTTCCAAAAGTATAAATGTATTTGAAAAAATAATTTTAGATTTTGTCTAGTTGAAATTTCTTAAAGCAACGCTTACTACATTTAATATACTTATTTATTATCCTCAAAATGCTGTAAAGTTTTTACTTTTTTTAATGGCTTAATGGCAATCTACAATTTTAATTTCATATTCCAAAGCAGAATATTTTTTAAGTATTTCAATGCATAAAAATTGAATTTAGGAGGAGTATTTAATGAGTTCTTTAAAAAAAACTTATAAGTATCTACTTATATCCAACTTTATAAGTATGTTAAGTTTTGATAAGCGTAGTGGAACGCGGTTACCTTCCAAAATGTTGGTCCACTACTCACTCCTCTTATCCAAACTTTAAATATTTTTAACTCATAAACTACTAATTCTTGATTCAATTTTTATGTATCAAAGTACTTAGAAAAATATTTTGCATGGAATATGAACAGTATGTTGTCGTTCAAAAAATTAAAAAATTAAAAAAAAATTAGTTTCTTAAAGACACTAAAAATGTATGGTTTTTGAAATAATGAGTGTTCTATGATAAAAGAATCACCCGGTGTATATACAACTATTATACTACAGCCCACAAGAAACATACTTAAAAATGCGTCCGTTTCTGTGCACCGAACACCCTTCTATACGCCAAACCATTTCAATCAGAAGCTGGCAACGATTGCCAATAGGCGTCATTGACATTTGTGTATATGTAGCGACAGCATTAAACACGTTTACGAAATTCGACTAATTCGTTTTTTATAACCGGTCTTTTGTGTCATATACGTTATAAGTTTATAACAAATTTTTTTACGAGTTTTTTGTGAGTTTTTTTCAATATGGAGAATAATATAACATCCCCAAAACAGCAATTAATTAGCTTTGTTTTTATGAGACACTGTATTCACGTTGCTGAGTGGTGGAAATAGCACTATGGTGAGAGAAAATTTGGCCGGCAGACGCCAGGTACGTCAGTATTGATGCGCATTTTACGTATGGACTCTCGTGGGCCGGAGTATAATATAGTTCTACATTCAATATTAAACATTGCTAAAATGAATAAAATTTAAGTTTGGGGATAATTTATTACTCTATATTTAATTACTCTTTACACTTATCTAAACAATCCCATTTAATAACAACTGTTAAAAACTTGCATTTCTATTAAAATTATAATTGTATATTTGATTATAAATGTTATAGCCTGTAAGTTTTTAATTTTTATATGGCCCTCGATTAAAAAAGTTTGGATTTCAACTCTATTTTAATGTATCATATAAAACAAAAAAACAAATATATAGTTATTATGAAATATGAATAACCAAAATCAAAGTAGTAATAAATATACTACTTTTGTTGTTTATTGACTAGTATAATATATAAATTACTCTAATTTAAAATGTAGTGTAGTGAGTAATTAGTGTAAGAATTAAGAGTATTGTGTAGTGCTGTCATATTTACCGTAAATATTTTTAGTAGTATTCACACATTGCTAAAGCCTAATAGTGTATTATCAGTTTATCAATCATTTTATTGTTTGTTAATTAATGAATTCATAAATGTATGATTGTTTTATAATTTATAAAATGTTTTGATAATTTTGGTATGCATTGAAAAAGTTCCATTTTATCTATGCCTTATTCTTTTATAAAATTAATAATTATAGAAACATATTAAAATCAAAGTAAAATGTTTTCTGTTATATTTAGTCATATATAGGTTGACTATATTAAAATAATTAGCTGAAAATTTATTTTTACGTCTATTATTTTTTGTTTTAATTAATTATGTAATTTATTTATTTTAAATGTTAGCTGCCTCTATCGTTAAACCTAAACCTGTGACTGGCACTAGCATTCCTGCAATATTGAAAATGCTCCAAGATGAATGGGATGCAGTGATGTTACATGCATTTACACAAAGACAACAATTGCAAACTGCTAGACAAGAATTGAGTCATGCTTTGTACCAGCATGATGCTGCTTGTCGTGTGATAGGCCGTTTGACTAAGGAAGTAACAGCTGCACGTGAGGCTTTGGCTACACTCAAACCTCAAGCCGGAATTTCTGTTGGCGATTCATCTGCAAATGCTGGACCTACTACAATACCACAACCAGTATGTTTAATAAATAGTGTTGTATAACCATGTTTATATTGCTTAAATTGTTAAAATATTTTTTATTATTCCTTATTTGTTTTATTATAGGCAATTGCTATGGAAGCCGCTGGAGTGCCTAATCAACCCACTGAAGAAGCTGGTATCACTGATGATATTATTAAGAAACTACAAGAGAAGGCTACAGTTTTAACACAAGAGCGAAAGAAACGAGGACGTACAGTTCCAGAAGACTTGATGGACCAAGAATCATTAAAAGGATTTAAAACATTGGCATCCCATCCAGTAAGTAATAAATTGATAAGTTATTATTAAAAGTATATTAATAATATTTAGGGTAACTGGTGTTATTTTACTTTATACTTTATACTTTTTAGGGTCTTCATAGTGCTAGCGTACCAGGAATATTGTCTTTAGATATACACAATGAAGATACTAGTAAAATTTTAACTGGAGGAAATGATAAAAATGCTACAGTATTTAATAAGGATACTGAACAAATAATAGCTGTTCTGAAAGGTCACACAAAGAAGGTCACACGAGTCATTTATCATCCAAATGAAGTAAAATCTAAAATTAATTAAATACTTAATTTTTTTTATAAAATCATTAATATTGTTTATGGTAATCAAGAAAATATTTTAATATGAAATAATCATTGTTTTTAAGGATGTTGTGATAACTGGATCACCTGATACAACAATTCGAGTATGGAATGTTGGTGCTTCTAATCCCTTATCTCAAATAATTAGAGCTCATGAAGGTCCAGTAACTGGAGTGTCATTGCATCCAACTGGGGATTATGTTTTGTCTACATCTGTTGACCAGAACTGGGCATTTTCTGATATTCGCACTGGAAAACTATTAACCAAAGTAAACTATAAATTATTATCAATTTAATTATAAGTAAAATTAATGTAGTATGTACCAATTATTTTAAATTTTGTTTCTAATATAGGTTTCAAGTCAAACTTCAAACAATACTCTAACTACTGGACAATTTCATCCTGATGGACTTATTTTTGGTACTGGTACTTCAGATTCAAATGTTGTAATTTGGGATTTGAAGGAGCAATCAAATGTAGCAACATTTTCAGGTAAAATTTAAAATTTGTTTCTGGTAGATCCTAAATTATTAATTTTTAATGGAATATATTCAGTCTTTTTTTAAATTAAATAAATATTTTGCTTATTTTTTTTCTTACAGGACATTCTGGACCAATTACGGCCATATCATTTTCTGAAAATGGTTACTATCTTGCTACTTCAGCAGATGACTGCTGTGTAAAACTTTGGGATTTACGTAAATTAAAAAACTTTAAAACTCTCGTCATGGATGATGGATATGAAATCAAAGACTTATGTTTTGACCAAAGCGGAACTTATCTGGGTGTTGCAGGAACTGATGTTCGGTTAGTAAAAATAATAAATACAATTATTGAAATACATTGCACACATATTACTTTCAATTTTATTTCTAGTGTTTATATGTGTAAGCAATGGCAAGAATTGAAAGTCTTCAACGATCACACAGCACTGGCTACAGGAATTAGATTTGGAAAACATTCTCAATTTATTGCTTCTACTAGTATGGACAGAACACTGAAACTTTATGGAATTTAAAGTAGAAATAGTGTAAGCTATGATTCAATTTTAGGCTAAAATAACTGTTAAGGTATATACCTTTTTTACTTGCAATATTGCACAAATAATTTAGACTTTATTAATAAAAAAAGAAACCCCTGAATTCATGTTTGAAATTATTGTTTTGTTTATATTAATTTAATTCCTTAATATGTATAGAAAAAAGGATATTTTTCAGTTTCCACTCTTAGTAGTACAAATGACTGATTTTACTGTAGTTTATATATATTCATAAATCATCAAACAGGACTCAGGTAAAATTTATTATACATAAACATAATAGTTCAATGTAAAATCTAAATGATAAATGTCTTATACTTATGATTTTAAAAATACCTATGTTTCTCAAAGACTTTACAATTAACGCTAATATAACATTTAATGTCATTTATAATAAACTTTAGGCATGGTTTAACAACCACTGCAATATCATAACATTGTATCACCATGCCCCATTGTCCCTGATTTTATATATTTGTTAATTTAATTTTTAATTGCTTTACCTTTATGAACAGCTCTAATAATTTATATGCCAACAAAGGTTTATACATATTATCATTTAATTATAAAATTATCATAACCATATAATAAAAATTTGATTCAGAAAATATTAAAAACTAATTTATTGCCCATTTGGTTAAAATCACAAATTTTCTATTCATTTTGTTTATTGAACAATATCTTAAGATATTTATTTGTTTTCATTTCCAACAAGTGTTGAAATCAGTGGAGTAACTATATCTCATTATCCGGAGGGGGGGGGGTCAATAGTCAATACTATTACATTTTATTTTATATCTGGGAAACATTAAATTTGATAAAAATAATTTTTGAGGAGAGGTTAACACTCCTCACTCCTGGTTGCGGAACTGGTTAAAATTATATAATCTTATAGAAACTGATACATTGGCTCACTTTTTGTTGATGAACACAAATATAACTATTTATTGGGAACATTATCGGGTTTCATATTTATACTATTGATTGTAAACATGACTATTATTAATTATGATTGAATTATAATATTCATGTAAAAAATATTTTTGTATATTTATAAGTAATAAATATTGAATCTTTACAAACAATTATTTATAACGAAATATATTATTCATGGTTATTTAAATGTCATAAATAAATTACTTTAATGGAAAAATTTGTTTTATGATTTTTTTTTATTTCACATCAGCGTAAATGAATATTAAGAGGACGTGATATTCGCATGTGTTGTCTCCGTCTTACAAGTGCATAACATAGAAAATTCTACGCAAAGCTGAACACTTGTAGCTCCGTTAGCTTACAAATTAGAGTGAATTACCTCTATAAAAATCTAAAGGTAAGATTATTATCTAGACACCCTCATGGGCTCTTATTATATTGTAATTTTAAGCGAGCCTATGAGTATTTTAAAATTGTAAATGTTTATAGATCTCAAACTACTCATAACTAGCTTAAAATTAAACTATTAAAAAAAATCCCATGAGGTTGTCTAGATAATAATCTACCTTCATTTTTATAAGAGGTTAATTTACTCTAATTTTAAATTAACAGAGTTACACGTGTTTTGCTGAGAGTAAAATTTGCTATGTTATGCACTTGTAAGATGGAGACAACACATGCGGGTATCATGTCCTCTTAATGCGACATTATTATTATGATTGTAGCATATCAAGACATGTGTGGTATTATTTAGCTTACACACAAAAAAGTAAATAACCTAAAAAAATGGTAAAATGTTGTTATATAACTACTTAAAATTATGACATTATTTCCAAAACTTAAGTGTTAGGTACTCGAAATATTGAGTGTCTCATGTGAAATGGATCATCCCGTGGTATGATACTAATCTTGGAAAAAAATGTTATGTCTCTATCATTCTTACATATTTTACGACTTCCAAGCAATTTTAAAGAAATTGTTTTCCCAATTATATTTCAAAGTACTGGGGAATTTTTACTTTTGACCCCTCCTTCAAAAAAAGGTATGACAATGTTACATTTAAATTACATTTGCCGAATGCCGGAATACCTAAATCTGATATTCGGTACATCGAGTATAGTATTTACCTATGTTATGAAATTAAAATGTCTTTTGTATCATATTTAATATTTATAGGTTGGTATTATAATGTTGGCTTCCTCTCGATTAATAGTTGAACCAGATTTTCGACAATGATTATTGTAAGCACGCACTGTTTACTTTTTAGGATTTTTATATTAATATTATACACAATTTAAGATATTGTGATATAATAACACTTAATATGTATTTTTATTCCAAACCGCGGATATAGGTATCTATATCCTTTTGTTCCAAACTATAAAATAATGTTAATGTTTAGAATACATATAATAATATTATTCTATAGGTACAACTAAACAAAAGGTGGGCAAGTGGATGTCGCTCTGCTTTACAGTAGGTTAAAAGTGGGTCACTGTATAATGGATGGTATTAAATTTGAATCACTTATCTATAGTATTAAAAAAAAATTGATCTATAATAGACCTACCTATGATAAATTCCAAATTAATCATATCACAATAACGATAACCATTATAGGTAATTATAACGCGTTATACGTCATCAACAACAAACCGTGATACTATAATACATATATAATAGTATAGTTTAGAAGTTTCAAGTACCCACGAATAATATTATCAACCACAACAAAATGACTAAAATAGTTACTCTAGGGATTTTTAATATGTAATTTCGTCCGAATTTGAATTTAAAATGACTATAAAAATAAACTGTGTCATGTATTTTTTAGATTTTTTGGTAACAGAATTAACTAGGAACTTGCATGGAACCTTGTTTTAAATTTTCAATCCTTAGATGCATATAAAATTTGAACATTTTAAAAATTTTTAGCTAAAAAATAATTATTCAATATTAAATTTGATAAATGTTGTCAAAATTTTTTCTTTAATTGCTTATAAAAATAAATTGTTCCTATGTATTTTTAATATTTTTCAACTAATATTGTAACAATATATCAGGAGCCTTGTATTAATCGCTACATGAGAAATTGAGTGAATATCCAATGTTGTAAAAATTTGAATTTCAAACGCTCATAAAAATTTAATTTGACTTTCTTATAGACATTTTTTTTTTTTTTGATAAAGGTAGATAATCTTATAAGGAATCTTGAATTACATTTTAAAAGCTTAGACTTAAAAAGAACAATTTTTATGAATTCTTAACTCAAAATAATTTGCTAATTTTTCCATATATTGTCAATTTTTGAACTTTAAATGCTTATACAAAGAAAACTGTTACTAAGGATTTTTAATATTTTTCAAATGTCATTGTAACAATATAGTAGGAGTCTTGTATTAAATTTTCAAGTATTTTTACTAAACAAATAAAGTTTAATTGACATTCATGGAAAAAAAAAAAACTAATAAAATTTTAAACTGAAAATGTCCCTAAACAGTTCAAAACAAATCAAAATATTTTGAAAATTTTATCGTGTATAGAAAATGCAAAAATGCAAATATAAACAACCAGTTTCTACGGTCATTTGTTTTAAAGTTACATCAAAAACCTAAATCGATTTTGCATAAAAATTCCGTTTTTCCTTAATTTTCTTTGTTTTTCACGGGAATTTACTGGGAATTTTAACCTCCCCAATGCACCAACAATATTCAGTTTCCCATCGAACAAGATACTGAAGTTGAAAGCCGAAGCATTATTTCGACTATTTATCGTGTAAGTACACTTACACAAAACAAAAACACATCATTGTAAAATCAATACATTCATCGTTCCACTCAGAATCTAAAATGTATAGGAGCCAGGAGGTAGTGATTGCACTTCATGTAATAATTTTAAATAATTAAAATTTATTTACATTTTATAATAATCCAATTTTATTAGTATAGGAAACAGGTAGGTAGGTATTAGGCTCCTATTAATAAATTACCCGATTGAAGATGTAAAAGTGAAAAACGTGTAGGTACTAGAATATTTATGTCTTCACACAATGTGAATATTTACGTGTTATATCATTAAATAAAAGGTAGTATATCTATTCTGTAACTTTTAATATTATTTGAAAGTATTTAGAGATTTTGTGTAACAAGCTACTTATTAATTTAAACCCAGGAAATACGATAGGGTCAGATTTCGGAAAGGGATCGAGTAAATTCTGGCATATATTATAGGAAGGTTATAATTTACCGATGGGCTCATATAAAATATACAAGTCATTACTTAAAATCCTTTGATGGTATACATCATTTTAAGGTGTGGTACCTAAATATTTAGTACACAATAATATACATAAACATATACATATATATTTATAATATATTACCTATATACATATAAATATACGTTACAGAGGCATGCTCAGGAATTTTGTGTGTTGGGGGGGGGGGGGGTCAAACCTTACAACAATAATTACCGAAATATGCATGCATTTATGCGGTTAAAAACACTGACTATGCGCTAAAAAATGCACTTACATTTTTATACATACTAACCTATATATGAGTAAAAAACATTTTAATACTACAATTTTTATTTCAATTTAGTTGATGGGTAATTAAAATGTACATTCTGTAAACTTCCGCGCTAGTGTATTTTGGGCTAAGGTGATTTATTACCTCGCTTACATGCAGATTCAATTATATTATTTTTAGAAAATAAACTTATTATTTCTTATAATAATTTATTAAATTGTATGTTATTATGTACCTGTCCGGCGTAATGAATATGCAATTTCGGTACATCGCCGCGTAGGTGGCTCGGTAAACGGATTTATTATGGGAATATTTCGTTACAGGGCGTGATTGTTATCTCTTGACAACAGTTAATTACTACCCACCACCGACTATTTTAGTTTTATCAAAATCGATTTTTCTAATTAATCCATTATCTATACTTCATTCCAAATGAGATCAGTACTAGCCGGCCTAGATGTGCGCATGGGCGTAGCTTCGTTCCGAATGCCCACCCAGGGGTTTCATTTGGTG